CTGTTGCCTAGAAAAGCGACTACAGTGTGTTGTATCAAATCTCTATGGTAATGCTCTTTTAGACCTTTAATTGACTGTGAATGCTATTTCCCATCGAACAAAATCGTTTCAAGTTTTTCACTTTTTCAACCCACTTGGTCATCTTTTTTTAATACTTTAGTAAATAAAATAACTCCGCCTGTAGCTCTTATAGGGTTGCTGCCGGTCCCAAGCCCGGGTAAAGGAGGAGGGTTGGGCATGGGGTTAGCGTCCTTATCCCGTAGAAAACTAACTCGCTAAAAAAACGCTTACCAGAAAAAATAATCCAAACCATTTTAACTCTGCCCTGGGAGTTAGAAGGTCTTCATTTAGAAGAATTATGACGCTTCATGGTGAAAGCCGAGTTCCTTCGGAAGCCACGAGGCCGATGCCCCTTCTAACAACCAGAGCAAAAATTTTTATAGGTACATGGAACGTTCGAACAATGTGGGAAACCGGGAAGACCAGTCAAATATCAATGGAAATGAGGAGATACAACTTAGCAGTACTGGGAATCAGCGAAACCCACTGGACCCAAGCTGGACAGAAAAGGCTAGCTACGGGAGAGATGCTGCTATACTCCGGTCACGAAGAGGACAATGCTCCAAACACTCAGGGAGTCGCTCTTATGCTGTCCAAAGTAGCACGAAATGCACTTGTAGGATGGGAATCTCATGGATCCAGAATCATCAAAGCATCATTCAAAACAAAGAAGGAGGGGATCTTAATGAATATTATCCAATGTTATGTACCCACCAATCATAGCAACGACGACATTAAAGATCAATTCTATGAGAGGCTGCAATCAATCATAGAGAAGTGCCCAAGAAAGGACCTCACCATTCTGATGGGAGATCTAAACGCCAAAGTCGGAATAGACAACACCGGATATGAAGATATCATGCGACGACATGGACTGGGTGAGAGAAACGAAAATGGGGAATGATTTGCAAATCTATGTGCATTCAACAAATTGGTCATTGGAGGCACAATATTTCCACACAAGCGTATACACAAGGCTACATGGATCTCGCCGGACCACACTACAGAGAACCAGATAGATCATATTTGCATCAACAAAAATTCCGAAGGACAATGGAGGATGTGAGAACCAGGAGAGGTGCTGACATAGCTTCAGATCACCACCTAGTTGTAGCCAATTTAAAACTGAAGCTGAAAAAGAACTGGACAACTGGACAAACAGTACTACAAAGGTTCAATACAGCCTTCCTTCGAGATACTGACACACTCAATGAATTCAAGATAGCTCTCAACGGGTTCAAAGCCTTACAGGATCTACTGAAAGAAGAAGAAACTACTATGGAGGACAACTGGAAAGGTATCAAAGAAGCATTAACTTCAACGTGTCAGGAGGTTCTGGGCCTCAAGAAGCATCATCATAAGGAATGGATCTCTATAGAAACACTGGACAGGATCAAAGAAAGGAAGAACAAGAAGACAGCAATTAACAACAGCCGAACACGAGCAGAGAAAGTCCAAGCACAAGCTGAATACATAGAAGCAAACAAGCAAGTGAAGAAGAGCATTAAAGCCGACAAGAAATGAGTGGAAGAACTAGCAACGACAGTGGAAAAAGGTGCAAGTGAAGGAAATGTGAAACAGCTTTACGATACAACGAAGAAACTAGCAGGGAGATATAGTAAACAGAGAGACCGGTCAAAGACAAAGAAGACAGGCCAATCACTGAAATTCAGCAACAGCGGAACAGATGGGTAGAATACTTCGAGGAAATCCTGAATGGGTCGGCTTCAATGAATCCACCGAACATCGAAGCAGCACACACAGATCATCCTATAGATGTCAATCCACCAACGACCAAAGAAATCAGAGTGGCCATCAGACAAATCAAGAGCGGGAAAGCAGCAGGACCCGACAATATACCAGCTGAAGCACTGAAGACAGACATCGAAGTAACTACAAACATGCTTCACCTTTTACTCAAAAGGATTTGGGAGGAGGAACAAGTCCCGATGGACTGGAAAGAAGGACACCTCATCAAGATTCCGAAGAAAGGAGATATGAGCAAATATGAAAACCATAAGCGCATTACACTACCGTCAGTACCAGGGAAAGTCTTTAACAGAGTGTTGCTGAACCGGATGAAAGACGCAGTAGACGCTCAACTTCGAGATCAACAAGCTGGATTCCGTAGGGATCGGTCGTGCACCGACCAGATGGAGACACTACGCATCATCGTCGAACGATCAATTGAGTGGAACTCGTCACTGTACATCAAATTCATTGATTATGAAAAGGTATTTGACAGTGTAGATAGGAGAACGTTATGGAAAATTCTTCGACCCTATGTAGTTCCTGAAAAGACTGTCAACATTATCCGGAACTCATACGACGGACTACAGTGCAAAGTAGTGCATGGAGGACAGCTGACAGATGCATTCCAAGTAAGGACCGGAGTCAGACAAGGCTGTTTACTCTCTCCCTTCCTCTTTCTTCTGGTGGTCGACTGGATTATGAAGACCTCGACATCTGAAGGAAAACACGGAATACAATGGACAGCTCAGAATCAATTAGACAATTTGGACTTCGCAAATGACCTAGCCCTCCTATCACGTACACACGAACAGATGCAGATGAAGACAGCCAGTGTAGCAGCAGTCTCTGCATCAGTAGGCCTCAGCATACACAAAGGGAAAACTAAGGTCCTCAAATTCAAAGCGGAGAACAGCAATCCAATCACTCTTGATGGCGAAACTCTGGAAGATGTAGAATCCTTCACATATCTGGGAAGCATCATCGATGAACAAGGAGGCTCAGATGCAGACGTAAAGGCGAGGATCGGCAAAGCAAGGGTCGCATTCCTACAATTGAAGAACATATGGAACTCAAAACAACTTTCAACCAATATCAAAGTGAGAATCTTCAATACGAACGTCAAGGCAGTTCTACTGTATGGAGCTGAAACTTGGAGAACTACAACAACCACAATCAAGAAAGTACAAGTACTTATAAATAGCTGTCTTCGCAAGATACTCAACATCTATTGGCCGGATACCATCAGCAACAGCCTTCTGTGGGAGAGAACAAACCAACTTCCAGCTGAAGAAGAAATTAGGAAAAGACGATGGAAATGGATAGGACATACATTACGCAAATCGTCAAACTGCATCACGAGGCAAGCCCTAACTTGGAATCCTGAGGGGAAGCGAAAAAGAGGAAGGTCAAAGAACACATTGCGCCGGGAAATAGAAGCAGATATGAAAAGGATGAATTACAACTGGACGGAGCTAGAAAGGATTGCCCAGGACAGGGTTGGATGGAGAACGCTGGTGAGCGGCCTATGCTCCTTCACGAGGAGTAACAGGCGTAAGTAAGTAAGTAAATAAAATCCCACTTTGGTAATCTTATGAAGTCAAAAATATTTTCGAATCCGTTTCGAGATAAATATTATATTCGTGTAAAAGTAAGTAATATTCAAGCAAAAAGCACGAAAAAAATCAACTTCTTAACATTTCCTCATTAATCCAAACAACTTAAGGATCCAATTATTATTGTTTTGTATCTCTTCAATTCAATAATAAGCACTCAGATACAATAGATAAAGTCTAGTTCGTCATTAAACACGAATTTTTTTAACTCCTCTTAGCATAATGATGAATTAACTTTATAATTAATGGAACTTTGCTGGATCTTTGAAGTGAACTGAGAGAGTTTCAGTAATTTAACAAACGAAAATTGAAAGTGCTAATATGTATAATCGAATGAAAAATTCTTTATTTATTTATGGTGACATTTTGGGGAGTGCTTTTCTTCTTTATTTTATAGGAAGTCTATTAAATCACAAGTAATTTTAGTTCATCATACGCAACTGTATTAAAACTGGCTCATAGTCATTCTGTTTAAATGTTTGTTCTAATTGAGTATCGCATTCAATTCCAGGGGTGTTGACGAAGATCATGATTATTTATTGCAAATATTTTATTATTGCTTTACTGACACACAGAAAGTATTACTCGGTAGTTTTTTAAGAGGAGATTACAGTTTACAAGCTTGATAAAAATTGCGATTGCAATACATTATATGCATTTCAAATGAAGCTGTGAGAGTCATTACAACTGGTGAATCTATTAATTATCTGGTTGCTGGCATTCAATGAGAATGGTTCAGTGTCATTTCCATAGTAAGTTTGGGGGGTTGATTTTGACCAGCAAACTGTAAACTAGTTCAAACCTTATTATAAAATACCTGTTATGATGCACAAAGATAACTGAATAGTTCTATCTGATTACATAATGTGATTTTCTCGAAACTCTAATATGGCTCAAAATTTACTAAACATTAACCCAACGCTTTAGGAATGTTAAACAGTACGTTTCGCCATTTCTTAATACAATGTTAAAAATCATGAAGAGGATAAACGTTCAAAATAATTCGAACATATCTATTTGCGGAAATCAACTGAAATGATTTCAGCACAAGATATGTAAGATGGCAGTCTTTGTTCAAGTTTATTTTATCCCTATCCCAAAGAAAGTGATTTTAATTGAACGCGGTTATCCTTTTAAAGTGCTTATAACCCTAAAATGTAATATATTTTATCACCAAGTGACTAGTTTCAATTTTCATACGTCAAAAACCTACTCATGCTGTCCCTAATTACTTTCAGATGCTCAAATAAAACACAATTTTCAGATATACCAATTTATCGCCTTATATTAATGTAAATTATATGGTAATAACTTGAAAGTTTTAATAGAAAAAATGGTAATAAGCATACTTAATAGTCAGCAATATCATCAGTAAAATGGTTTACAGAAACACATCATGTTTTCATCCTCATTTGAAATGAAATTTTGGCAAATGCATTGGGATTCATTGTTTGGACCAACCTGTCTTAAATTAAATTGCATATATCAAGAAAGTTAAGGCGATGCTTAATTCCTTCGATTCCACTGAAACAAATGATACATTTTTCCCAAATAACGAGCGCATTGAGAATATGTTCAAGAATTTAGATTATGTGATTTCCAACAGGGGAATATGCACTTCAGTATTTGTTTGAAATCAGTCTGAAATTAAAAGGTTACATTTAAAACATGTAAATACCCTTTAATACGTTAGTTTGAAAGAACTCTAGAAGTCTTTTTAAAAAAATAGAATTACCAGTAAAAACTATGTGTCTAGATTTTAAAAACGGTATACGAATAATCCTGTAAACCATACAAACCATTGATTGTATTCAAAACTCTTTAAACCAAATGAGTTCACATTGATCTTTGAAGTCATGTTTTCTGGAGGAAATCAAGTGTCATACATGTACTTACAGTTACCATTATTTCAGTAGTCTATTAAATAACTCTTGGATATTACAGCTCATGAAAAGTAGAAAAGCAGAACAAAACATCAGCTAATAAAATGCAGATTAGACTATTATTTATGAGCTATATAGATTCAAATCTCTAGTTCTATAAAGAAGCTCTAAGAAAGTCAATAAATTGAAAATAAAAGTATTTTACACTGACACATCTAAATTTAAACTACGTTTAGTCTATTTTATTTTTTCCATATACCTACAATAATGAAGCAACATACCATTTTTAACTCCCTTTTGACGTATAATCTCTTAAACGTCGAATTCTTTTGGTTGACCACTTGTCAGGCAAAAGAATATTCAAATAAATCCATAGTAGTTATTTAATTTCTTGCGAATGTAATTAAGCGTATATTTTACAAAAGTTCGTTTTTCTCATTGATCATTAAATATTAATGAGCTCTCTGAGTTCTGAATCAAATAAATAGTGATGACCGAATAGAGCGAAGGTGTGTAATATCGTATTATTAAGTAATAGCCATTTCCATCAGTACTTCATAGGTTTATTGATTTATTGTCAAACGAACAATGAAGTTCATCAAACGATTCTGAATGCTTATGCGCTGTATAAATAGAAGCGATAAGTTTCATCTTTATCCTTTCAGTGAGGAACTGCAACAATTTTTCTTATGAAATTCGATCTTCAATGATACATAACGTAACTGCGTGGACATGTAGAGAGCAGTTACAATGGAATAAAAATGACGTTTAGATACGTCATCAAGGAAAGTAGCACCTGACCAGGAAATACAAACAAGAATTTAATTTACGGAAACTAAATGTAAGCACAACTTGTTCTCTTTAACATAAGCATTTAGCCATAATTTATAAGTGAAAAATGATTGAGAACTGTGTAAGCCTACTAAAGTTCTTTCTAAACACTACTTCGTTAACTGAAATAACAGAACTTGTCATAGTAGCTAGTAATAGGTCAACTATATGCGAAACAAAAACATCAATTTCGGTAGATCATCTCTGGTTTGAATCTAGGGAATTGTTTTTCTGTCTAAACACTAAGAACTTTATAAAGCATAAAACATTGGTATCAAACTTCAAGTATCATATGACACATACATTTTATCTTACCCGAAACGATTTACTCATGATTAGATAAATAATTGGATTGACAAAGCTGTTCGACATTGCTATCCAGTGGCACATACCATACACAAGTCTGGTTGTATTTTCAGGCATATTGCGAAATAATGGACTAAAATCTTGTAGAAGGAAGAACAAATGTGATGGAAGCCAACAAATACCAAACATCGCGACAATGAAAGCCAACATTTTAATGATCTGTATAAGAAAATCCAAAAAGAGAATATTCATTCAAAAATTTTGTACAATGGTGTTTAGGGTATAAAACTCCCTTAAATATAATGCATGAATGTTTTTTACTAGAGAGCAAATATTACCATTTATCTTCATATGTTTCACACTCTGATTCCTTGTACAAATTTTTTTAAAAACATAGTTGATTGACAGCTACGACATGATGTTTTGAACAAAGCGCCTACAACCGAATCCTGATAAAATACTTAATAAATGTAGTAGTAAATCGAATGTTAAATACATTAAACTGATGTTCGATTAAAGCCTATTTTCCGTTAAAAGAAAACAATTCCAAACTTTGACCATTTAATGTACACAATAAATTTAAACATCAAAATAACAAATGTCACTTGAATTCCAACACAGTGTTGTAAATTTATAATGCTTACTGTAAACATTTTAATCCCTAGATTCACTTCACATGACGTCAAATCATATTTTGACAAAAGATACCTAAACAGGCAAAAACTGTTGTAGTCATGAAAATAACCTAATTATGTAACAAAAATCATCTCGCAGTCAATAAATATATCAACAACAACAAACTATTGAAACAAGAACTTCGGAAAAGTATTTGGATGATACCACTGCACGTTAAGGATGATTAGCACTTTATGAAACCAATTTTAATACAATTCAAATTCAAATTAACTCAGAAATCTAAACTTCTTATGATTGTTAAGTAATTTAGTGAGTGTTTAAAATGTTAACGTATTCACTCAATATTTCATACATTATAATATCTGAGAAGTAATGCTTACAAGATCTCACTTATTTTCATCTGATCCTGAAGCCACAAAAATAAACAGTAATCAATTTTCTCGATTAAATAATAGTGTGTTGTTTGAAGATGATAGTAATCCTGTAAACATAACGGAAGCTAAGGATAAATAAAACAAATTGTCACATCCCTTTGTAGATCCATTCTCCATGCTATATTTTTGGCCCTGTATCTGACTCCAGTAATATCGCATGATTGATTGTTGAAAAATATATATAAGTGGATAGTGTTATGTCCCGATAAGCATAATGAATGGTAGCTTTTGCGATGCATTTATGCATCAATACTATACGTATATTTTTATCGTGTGATTGTTAAATAACTAAACTATTCATATTCATGTCCCTCTTATTATGAGCTTTAATTTAACCTATGAACTATTATTCTACAATCTACCATTCTTGAATTATGCTTTGTCTATTAATTACTACCTCCCACATTCACAGCCCCTTTAGCTAAACATTGTACAAATGTTGTTCCCTATTTTATGGTACGATGTGGTCTTTCCGGTTGGTATATAAACCTAGTATGCTTGAAATAAATGATTGATATCACAGAGGTTGAGATTGGTGTTCTGGACTTAACTGGCTGGGCTAGACAGGAAGCAGGACCGATAGGTACTCTAGACTGCTCGTATGTGGTTTATGCGTCATTAGTCCGATCGATAATTCTCTGCTCTCTAATCGGCGGTATCATTACGTTATACATTAACAGGGCACCCAGGTAACAAGTTATAACAGATAGTCAACAAGGTCAAAATGTAGCTTGAAAGGAATGGATAAATTAGCCTGTCCAGAAGCTAGGATAAGTTGTGTGGGCTTGACATAGTAACCGACACTACACTCTGAATGTCGAAAATATAATTTAGAAGCATCGCTATAGATTTTGAGGGTCCATTCGTTAAACGTCATCTCCTCTATAAATTTTATCAGAAAATTAACCTATATGTCTTGACAAAATCAAGAGCTACTTTTATCAAAGTGATCTTGAAACAGGAGCCATAAGAAATATACAGTTTACAATAAAGTCAGCACCTTTCAAAATAACAAATGTCTAAAATAAATTCTTGAAGGAGTACTACTTCATATAGTTTGAAGCCACTTAAAATCAGAAGTGATGAAATCCAGTTCTGATGAGGGATGAAATCAGGTTTAAGTAATCAGTTTCCACAGAAAAAATGAGTAAAATATTAACCCATTTGTTTTAAATATAATAATGCATTATGTAGAAACAAAATAAAACCGTTCACTGTATTAACTTCAGAGACATTACTATTGATTTTCTATTAAATTAATTAACAAAAGACTGGTTAAGTATAGTGTTATTTCGTTTGATTAGTTACCTGAGAATGGAAACTTTCGCCAATTAAAATGACAAAATATTTAGGGTATTAAAGATTCCCAATGTGAAAATTAGAACAATAGATGTAAGCGAACAATTGTTTTCAATTAGATCGTCATCAGGCTTTACTCTAATATATATGAATATTTATATGAAAATGTTAAACCAATCAAGGTAATTTAGGTCAATAATCACAATGAAATAGAATATGTTAATTCAATAGTAGGAAGACAGGTGTACTGATAGTAGTGAGAAAAATAAAATCTGATAACAAAAGATCACTCGAGTGATCTATCGTATGCCTCCATCATTTCCCAACGGAGTTCGTCTTCATCTCCTACATATAAATAAAGCCATAGAAATTCGTACATTTAACCCGAATTTATGTGTACAGAAGAAATTCGTGACTTATTCCGTTTCATTGTGATTATTAACCTAAATGACCTTTATTGGTTTAAAATATTTTCGTATAAATATTCATGTATATTAGAGTAAAAGCACAATAAAAGCGCATGAATGGATACATTTTAACAAGAGCCAAAACACCATGGTTTGCACAATAAGATAAATCTATTTTATTTAACGCCTTCTCATCAATTGGATACAACTGAAAATTATAATGATTAATATAATTACTGACAAATGTTTAACACAGATTTTATTCCAGGCATTTGATTTTAGGCTGTTTGTTAGTGATCAAAAATTGTAAAATCAAATAAATCAGTTTTATTCTGTAAACCTTGTTATTCTCGCTCTTTTAACACTTATCATGAAACTAACTTGTACAAATTTTACATTGTGTTTGTTTTAGCTTAATTTGTTATCTTAGTGATTATTTCTTCTTCAGAATTAAATTCACCCAATACTATGCTTTTTACAGTTATCTACTAAAAACTGGTTCTTATTCATAAATGTATTAAAGAATTGTAAACATATTTTCAGTCCCCCAGTTCATTCTTTCAAGTCTAGTTATCGAATAAAATTGGTCTTTTTAATATTGTAAATCATGAATACAGATTTAACTTATTATAAATTTTGATTGTAGTTTGGTTTTTTGTGAGATTAATATTTAATGTATAGTCTTCGATCTAAACAATGATTGTTCAGGATTATGACGAAAGAATAAAAGATGATTGGAGTTTCAGTAAACACTAAGTAAGATTTAATGGATTTAAGAAAAGGATTATCTGTTTGCTAAGACTGTAAAATCTCGTAAATTAAATAGAATAAATAGTAAAAATGTCTCTTGTCAAGCACAGTAATATTCAGTATTCAGTATTTCTAAAACCTTTTTAAATGATCATCTGTGGTATGGAAATGAACATTTCAGTACACCTGATTTTGCGAATAGTTCCAGATGATCTTTGAAAATATTTGGTTGAATCATTCTGTTTTAGAGAATTTTCAACCTTAATCAATAAAAGTATTTGTATGAATCATATTGTGCCAACTAGCGGAATGCCTGTGAATACTTTTCAGTGTCCGAAATCACTATCTGATAAGAAATTTTATATAAATGCTGAGAACCTTGTTTGATACAAAGAGCTGATTTACTGGGAAATTAATTTTCAGTGTTAGACTGATACAAATTTAGGGAAGTTACTGATCTTGTGATGTAGTTACATTTAAAGATTTTACATTTAAATAAACATACATTTTAGACTTTCTTGAATTTCTTTATTTGATTCTTTCGTAGTTACAAGTTCACGTGTACCTTTAGGTAGCTTAAGTGAGACAAAGAACGTCGACGAGATCTAGTACCACATTTTTCAACAATATTTATACTTTTTGGTTATATTGTAATTATGACTTCAACTTGGTTCAATTGAATTTATTTTTATAATGCGTTCGTAATATTTTTGTTTGATTTTCTAATTGTTTACCACATTTATGGTGTAGTCTTTGTACTTAATACATACACCAAGATTAACAAATTAATTAATTAATTAGTACTGGATACAAAGAACATAAACGAATTGAGAAATTTTTCACATTATTTGTAGATGGGCAAATTTGAAGGGCAATGATAAGAAGTAATGTTTCATGTTAAATTTCAATACAATGTGGATTTAATCAAACGTACCGTAACCGACGTGTATATTCTTTGGGTACTATCCAAGTGTCTCGTAGTTTACTCTCAAATATTTTAGAAATATAAGAGACGGTCCTGATAAGAATTTGTTAATACATTAGTTATTAGAAAATCGAACATGAGTCAGCTGAGTGAATTTTTGATGGCATAAAATATGAACACCAAATCATACGGAAAACTAATGCTCTATGAGTAATAATGAAGTCTGAATTATTAATATACAAAATTAATGTTACTTTTTATCCGATTGCTCACGTTTGTAAACCTCACTTAGAATGAGAAATTTCGGTTTATTTCTTTAATTTATATCCACAACTATCTGTTGAAAAATATAAATATTTATTTTTATCAGATTTAGGACACTATTTCGACTGAGTCATTTACGCTTCACTAAACGATTTATGTTAACTTCGATGTTTTATTTTGGAGTTGTGAGAAATTCACCATATTCTTTAATTAAATCAGTTTGTTATTACTTTATCAACCTTCTTATCTGAGTTTCTATCTTGCTCTAGGTATATGGAGATCTCAGCTCACCGTATCCAGTCATATAATAATACTCCCCCCGATCTTCACCTGAGTGTCTGATAACAAATCATGTGAGTGTCAACTGAAATATCTAACTGTTAAACAGTACTAAATATATGCTTTAGATCTTTTATAATATATTTAAGCCTTCTGTTTCGATTTACCAAACTAAGGAAGTGAAGTACATACATGAGTTCAAATACGTACATCAATGATAGTTATTAAGATAATTTGTTCATCTTAACCTTAACATAGACCTTAATAAAAATAAGTGGTAACAGATTTCAAATCTGAAAGTAATCAAAAGTCTCTAAAATATACCTTTTTGGTAATGAGAATTTAAGTATTTTTTTAATATTAATAGTTATGCTCCAGGGATTTATTGTAATTTACTGATTCTATCAATAGCTTCCTCGAGTAAAAGAAAATTTTCACGAATGACTATAGAACGTCAGGATTAAACTAATTAATGAATCCAAACTATATTTTGCTAATTAGCTGATTGATATAAACTTTTTTTCATTTACAAATAATGTTAACTGAAATTGATAATAAAATGTCTATCAATAGACACAGGTAAGCCCAAAAGACAAGTTACTTCTATGAAGTGTTAACACATGTTTTTAGGTGAATATTTTCACTATATGAATTGTAGAAAATGAGACAGATGGCATTTCAAACTATGTGTTTTGAAATGGCTCCTGTTCTTGGTAAACTTATGACTTTATTAAATTTTAACAAACCGATAATAAAATACACCATACAAGTAAGATTATTATGTTAAAATTAATTTCCAACAAATAAAATTGAACTTCATTTTTGCATTTCGCACAATCGTCCAAAGTCTATTTACTATTGCAATGAATAAATAAATAAATCAGTGCAAAACAAATAGATTACCAACACTTCATTTCAGATTACTGTCCATCAAACAGCGTTTTTGATTAATCGGGTCAAATACCTGTTTAAAAAACATAGTTTAAAATATGTGAATAGTTCATTCTTAATGTTTATTCATAAAATATTATTTTAAATGTCAGTTGAAAAACAGGAAAATTCAAAGCAATGGATTGAATTGTAACAGGATGGTCTCATCGCATCCCTTTATGAACTGCCTTTTTTTCTGTAACTTACCTAATGTAGCTGTATTTAATCGATTATCAACAGAACAGTATGTAAAATGTCAATAGTATGATGGTTAGAACTTAGAAGGGATGACTATGAATGTCAATGAAATTGACACTGGGATTTCTGCTTCAAATAAATGCTAGAATATTTCAACAGTTCCTTTTATGACTTTCATTATAATAATGGTAAAGTTAAATTTTTGTAATCATATATAATGTAACATTGTCTAATGCAATCAAACAAGTGATGACCGATTTAAAAATGAAAATTTATGATCAACAAATAATCATTATCTACGAGCCCTATTTGACCAAATGTGGTATGGAGATTATAGTTTGAAACAAAGAAGAGTTTTTTAAAGCAGTCTAGCACAATAGAAAAAAGACAACGAATTCAAGTATACAGATATACCATATACAAAGTATACGGATCGTAGTAATATATTCACTTTAAAACAAAGAATTATAGGTCAATTTCTTCAAACAAAAACTCATCTTTACTTTGTATAAATAAAATTTTAATGTTTTAGTCTTATTATGACAATTACTACCTTAATCTTTTTATTGTTGTAACTAAGGTTCATGTATGGTCTAAATATTTGATTTTCTGATTGCAATCAACTTCTTTTTAAGTTTCTTGTCTATCTACTTAATGCCAACTTACCAAAATATAAAAATATGACTATCTGTATAAAAATATTTTGGTTGCGCACAATAAATAATTTAAATGTTAAATAATGAGAATTGACTTACTCGTTTCTTTTCTTTAATCCGCATATCTTCTACACCTTTAATTGACTCCCCAGGTGTTTTGCGGTTCCATAACCTAAAACTAATATATCCATAGGTTGATGTTTGTATTCCCAGTGGAATAATGTAGATTACTAAGAAAAGTACAACTGTATAAATTGATCGCTTATAGTCATCTCCATCCCATGATTCCTGACATAGTTTACGATCAGCTAAATATCCTTCTTGTTGCTCTAATGAATTTTTATCTTGTTCTTGTATTTGTGTTCTGGTTGCAAACAGTTGTACTGTACTACCGCTAAGTGAAATAGCCCAAATACTTATTATTATGCAGATAGTCAATGATTTTTGATGTCTACTAGGCCAATGATCAAATCTAAATGGACTTATTATACCAAATAATCGGTTTAGACTAATAACTGTATTTGTTAATGACGAGGCTGTAACCATAACCATTTGTACATAAACAACAATTGGGCACATTAAATCAGGAAATGGCCAGTGATGTAAATAAATTTGTGTAAATGTAAACGGAATACAAAAAAGGCCCATGAATAAATCAGATATTCCTAAACTGGCTAAATAATAATTAAATGCTCCATTCATATAAAATGTTTGCTTTTGGTATGTGTTTCTCATAACATGGTGTAAGTGCTTCGGTGCTTTTTCTATTGAATTATCCAGGTTCTTTTTCAAAAAATTATTGTGATCATAATTACTCGCTGAAGTGTCATAATTTCCATCAACTTGACGATTCTTTAATGACTGTAGATAATTTTCTGAATTTGAATCTACCAGTTTTTTAGTCCTGGCAAATGGTTTTATTGTAGTATGATATTTTATGCCAAATTTTTTACGTTTTCGTAAAAATATACATATTGCTATTGTATTGCCAATGAAAGAAGATAACATAGTGATAATATACACAGAAAATACTAATATACTAAGAAAAATTGATGTTTCGTTTTTATGAATGATAATATAATTTCCATATTTATCACTACTCATGAAACTATCAGAAACATTATCAATATGATGAACAGAACTTGTGCCCCAGTTGTTAAGTTGACCACTTTCATAAACTGAAGTGAAATTATTCATGTTTTTCTTAAAAAGAAACCGTAATATATGAAATATGCTGAAACGCCCAAACTGTAAACTAACCTGTTAAACATTCATTTTTCAAGTGGTATAAATAAATAATCCGGTGAATTATTTTTACTGGTTAGTTTCTATGTTATTCACGATTGGCTGATCCTCATTATCTATAAATAAAGACTACAAAATTTTTACCAAACAGTATACTTTAAATAAAACATAAAGTGCATGTCTACAATAATAGTAATAAGAAGAGCTGTAGGAACCATGAAATGACATTTCCATCAATTAATGACAATATCATACAAATTCTTTATCCAGTAACCTACTGTTCACTCTCATAACTGGTTAGTGAAACAAAAGATATCATAAAGACCAATATAAAAGCTTTCAAAATGTTAACTTAGTAATTATCTGCAAAAATAAAGGATATATTCTTTCTTTAACTTTTCACAATGTTTTTAAAAAAAGCAGAGACGTGATTGGTAAGATTACAAAATACTTAAATCTACTTCTCAATATATTTTCTATTTCAACTGCCAAAATGCTGGGATCGGAGTGTTAAATGCCAAGATGGTAAACCAAAAGCATCTGTTCAAAGTTGCGCTTCCAAGTGTTCTGTGCTTTTAATTTACTTATCGTCTTCCTAAACATAAAAATGTTTATAAAAAAAAGATGGAAATAATTCTGATAATAGTAATCATTCTGAAATCAATGTCTTCGGTTTAAAATCTAAGGCGAAATTCCTCAACCTTTGTACCAACTAAGAACGCAAGATTTTTTCAAAGAAAGACTTCATATTGAATGGAAACTGTCTATGACTTAGTAAAATAGTTTACATAAGAAAATTTTCTAGAACTAAGTCTTAAAAATAAACCAGAACCAGGTAGTTTTCATTCTAAGTTAAAGATTGAATGTGGCTCTATTATTATCAAATCGAACTGAAAACATTTCCATATCAGCAAGTACTATACATGAACAAGATTTATCCATTGTTAAGCAATAGGAAATGTGAATATGGAAAACTTTTGTCTAATCCTAGTATTCATTTTTTCACTTATTATTTCCGAAACCTGCAAAATAACGAATGAAAGCGGTAATCAATCATTCTAACCTTACTCGAAATTCTTTTCTTGTCTATGTGACTTGTGCTCACTAATTTTCTTTTATTTCTTGTTTCCATATGATTTTTTCTATCAATAATAACCGTTTATAATTCATCAATATGAGGAAATGTGGATAATTATTGTAATTCTTTCTTGGTACTGTAGTGTTATAGTATTTATACCCTGCAATCTGCTTTGAAGCAGTTAGGTAATATGGAGGTAATTTACCGATAACTTCAATATACAGACGTACATTCTTTAGAATATACTTCCTAAATCATATTAGTAGTCTGTTTTAGTCATCTAATATACTTTCTTTAGGAAATTTTGCAAACCAGAAAAGTACACTTCGAAAACACAATGTAATATGTTCAATTCAATTTACATGTGAATTATTAAATATAAAAATATCCAAGTAAGTAACATCAATTATTATGCATATTCAAACTGGAACTCTCACTGCTAATCCTTTAGTTAGTTGTTGAAAGTACTCAAACACATATTCATCTTCGATGCTGACCATATTTTTAGTGAGATTAAACACAGTATCGCACATTGACAAACGATGATTTCGTTTCCCTGTTGTTTTGAAAATACCTGGTTTGTTGCATGAAGTAATGTGCAGTTCTGTGGTAATTCATGGAATTTTTGAAACTGGGAAACTAATCTTTTGTCACTAGACGAAAATAATTAGAGGATCATAGATAACTTAAAAGTAGTAGAATGCTTAGCTGCTGCGATTTTGATTTTTCAAGAAGTACTCAAATAATACACTATACGGAATATATTTCCAGAATATTACATAGGTATTGCTTATCTACCGATTTACAACTTAGTTGTTTACATCCTCTCATCATTTAACATAATCACATGGGACCAAATCATTCAAGAAATGTATAATTCCTATTAAATTTAAGTGATTTTTATATCTGTTATAGTCACCATTAAAAGTCAGTCTTGGGGTAAAATAGAAAACAGTTTACTAAAAACAGTTTAATGGATAAGAAAATACAAAGTGGTTTCACTGTAATAAATAATTAATCGGTTAGAAACAAAAAACGGTATTGGGTTAAGTAAACACTCAATAAATCTATTTATGAATGGAGAATTCTTTCAGAAAATGATAAACATCCTATTTCTAAAGTTAGTTAAGTTAATTTCTAAAACTGTTTTCAATAATTTTAAAAAAATGAACACATTTCTTTCTAAATAATTCCCCTAGTAGTTCAACCTTATCAGTAGTTAATCTTTAAAATACATAAAAATTAACTGAATAAATTAACCATATATAAATAATTGATAACAACATAAATGGGCCATGTTTTCAAAACATAAACTCATGTATAAAACATAGTTCACCACATATAGAGGAAATAAGTAAATACCACATCAGAGTGATAAATGTCAAACAATGAATGACTGATGAAAGAAACTTAGGTTGAAATGGAAAAAGTACAGTTAGGAAATAACTTCAAATATAAAGGAAGAAAAATGTGTAAAAAATGAAGACAAATGAAGAGCAACAATCAGTGTTCCAAACAAATTTCATTTGAATGTAGAAATGATTTTTCGTGTAGAACTTTTTTTTAAATTTTCGATTATTTTACATTCAAACACAAGCATTTTAAAACTCAATACATTAATAGACCAAAATTGTATAGCCAAGCAAAATTTAGAAAACGTAAAACATACTGATGGCTAACTAGAAAACCGAAAATATAACTCACCATACATAGATTGATATAAGAAGTGATTTACAGATGATGACAAACCGAGCCTTAATTTCTTAGTGGACTATCCTAATTTAAGGCCATCAAAATTACCAGTGTCACTTTAAAAATAAGCATAGAACCATTTCACAATCCTAAATAATTTTCCATTTTCTCTTAGTTTGTAAAATATACCGTAGTCCTATTATTCACTTATAACATTACGAAAAACAACAATTCGTTCCCCTTAAACAAAACAATTGAAATAACAGTACGCCTTTCTGTTGTAAAAAAAATATTCAGCTTGAAGCATGTGAATATCGACTAATTTAGAAATTCAGAGTTAATGGAAGTAATCAAGCTTTTTTTCATATTCAACTTGATTTTTGTTCCATTGAGACTATTTTCTGCTTATCTTTTTTTCATCATTATTAAATATGTAATGCTACATATTTTTTTTAAAAATTATGTTGCTTTTCTTTCAGTATCATAATATGATTTATCTGTTTTCCATTTTCTCATGAATCACTAATTATTTAATACGTTGATTTATTAATAAGTTAACCTAATTTTTTTTTAGTTTTCAGATGTCACTAGCAAATTAGGCAGTACCATTTGGACTATGTTAGATGAAATCGTTATAATTCAAATACCACTAATGTATAGAATCCTATTAGACTTTAATTATATTTATTGGCATTTCTTGCTTCAAAATGAGAGATGGCAATTAAGGACAACTAATTACTGAATAGTCACTGAAGTAGTTTTTCTTCCAATTTAAGTCTTTATTCCTTGTATCACTCCAGCAATCGTTTTCCTTGATAGATGATGCATTTCATTTTGCAAGTATAACATTCCTTTGAACAACGTTATTAAAATGTATCTCGAAGAAGTAATATTTTATTTAAGCCTGAGAAAATAGCTGTAAAATGTTTGAAAGTCACAAGTATACAGTTTACACCTACATTTAAAAACATTACTGGTTGATATGAAAGACTTTTCTAGACACTTAATCATGACTGTATAGGAATGAATTCACAGTCACATTTCGTAACAGCGTTTTGTCACTAACTCGACATCCGAGGGAAAACGCGGAATACAATGGACAGCTCAGAATCAATTAGACGATTTAGACTTCGCAGATGACCTAGCCCTCCTATCGCATACACACGAACAGATGCAGATAAAGACAGACAGTGTAGCAGCAGTCTCTGCATCAGTAGACCTCAACATACACAAGGGGAAAACCAAGGTCCTCAAAAACAACACGGAGAACAGCAATCCAATCACTCTTGATGGCGAAACTCTGGAAGATGTAGAATCCCTCACATGCCTGGGAAGCATCATCGATGAACAAGGAGGTTCAGATGCAGACATAAAGGCGAGGATTGGCAAAGTAAGGGCCTCATCCCTACAACTGAAGAATATATGGAACTCAAAACAACTGTCAACAAATATCAAAGCCAAAATCTTCAATACGAACGTCAAGGCAGTTCTACTGCATGGAGCTGAAACCTGGAGAACTACAACAACCACCATCAAGAAGGTACAAGTAATCATAAATAGCTGTCTTCGCAGGATGCTCAACATCCATTGGCCGGATACCATCAGCAACAGCCTTTTGTGGGAGAGAATACACCAGCTTCCAGCTGAAGAGGAAATTAATAAAAGACGATGGAAATGGATAGGACATACACTACGCAAATCGTCAAACTGCATCACGAGACAAGCCCTAACTTGGAATCCTGAAGAGAAGCGGAAAAGAGGAAGGTCAAAGAACACATTACGTCGGATAATAGAAGCAGATATGAAAAGGATGAATAACAACTGGGAGGAGCTCGAAAGGATTGCCCAGGACAGGGTTGGATGGCGAATGCTGGTGAGCGGCCTATGTTCCTCCACGAGGAGTAACAGACGTAAGTAAGTAAGCTTTGTCACTAAACTATGATTTCGAAACAACCATATATATATATATATATAATCTATTATTGATTCCATATCTTGAAGTTAATCGCAATAAAACGTAGGAAAACTATTAAGATTCAAAGTCCATTACTTATTCCATCTACCATACTAGAAATATGTATCTCTAACGTTGTATTGTCGATCACGGTGTTCAAAGTTTTTTTTAATGTTATCATGCAATTTCGTTTAGCTTGTAATCAGATTTCTGTTAAATAACAAATAT